GGGGAAAAAAAAAAACCACCACCCTGGTCTCTGCACAGGCTGAAAGGAAAAAACAAAAAAAAAAGAAAGTGCACAGATTTCTTTGGCAAGCAGGTGAAAAGAATTCAGATCAAAAGGTGTTAACAACCTGAGGAGCACAGACAGAATACAACTAATTGAAATGCAAAGGCACGGGCCAGGTTTGTGGCTATTTGCGAGCGGTTTAAACCAGAGCGGATCGCCTCCGGTAAACGAGAGAGAGCCTTTTTCCATGGCGAAGGACAACCCCAAACTTCGTCTGAAGTACAAGAGTTCCCCCGGCAAAGGCAGACTGGAGTTTGCCTTGCACTGGTAATGAATCTTTACAGGTTTTTCTATTTCTCCCGCTTCCACAAAGTTTACTCGCGGGCCTGGAAGCTGTGATGGAAACGTAATGCAATTCCAGCTCTCGGGAGGGTAAGGATTAGAACCTTCTAAAAGTGAGAAATCAAGCTCTGAAAGGGAGACAGCCCCTCTTTCCTCCCCGCTCAGCCTTTAGCCATCTCAACCCTTTAAAATAGTTTAAGCAGACAATATTTCAGAAGAACTTACTTTCAGGACTCCAGTCTATTGGCTCTCTGGGTTGAAAACTGGACCCGCAAAACATGTTCCCTGCAATGGCAACGTTTATCTCATCTGGAAAAGTGCTCACCCATCGCTGCCCCTTACGAGCCAAACCGAGCAGTTAAAGTGTCACTTAACATTCTAGAGAATGTGAAATATATTGTACATTGTCAACTCCCCAAAACCATAAAACTAACTTTATGGACCTCACGTGACTTTTGAGAGCCAGTGAGGGGTATCTGTCTGAGGTCTGGGCGATTTTTACGATCCAACTTCGAGATAAAACCCTATCCATTTGACATCTAAATGTCATACCCACTTTTGCTATAGTTTGCTAAAAAAAAAAAAAAAAAAGAGGAAAAAACATACCAAGGGAAGGCGAGCAAATGGTTTGGGATCTGAGAGTCCACTTCACATCCCTCTCAAAATCACTTAAGAAGTGCCTAAACAGTGGGAGATTAAGTTTGGTAAGTTTTCAGCTCCAACTTTACTCGCTGCGGACAGAAAGCCGAAGCCGCGTTGTCGCGATCTCAGCGGCGTTTCGCCAAGTCAAGCGACTCGAACCCGGAGTATCTCGCTCCTGGTTAGCTTCCCAAGGTAGAGAAACGGCAACGTTTGCCGGCTGGGATGGTGTGAAATTCTCTGCAGCCGACGCGACTCGGTGTAGTGAGTGTCAGTAGCTGCGGAGCTGTGAGCTGTTATTTACATGTCGAGCCGGAGACAGGAGGTACAAGCAGTAGTAAGCACCAGGAACCGAGGGCGAGGGGTAGAGGAGAGAGCATGGCTTAGCGCAGAGGTGTAGTCTGTGTGTACATGTTATTTATGTATAATAAATATGTCTGTACAAATACACGGACCTGTAGTTCCGTAGGACACGGTTTTACGCGGGCGCGGACGTGGCTACAAACACCTCACTTTTAAACTGTGCGTGGTGAAGATCTGTGTCTGAGCGCTCCTGAACCGCACGTAAATCTGCCGGGGAAGCGTTTATACCGGGCTGTTGCAACTTGAAGTGCTGGAAACCAGTTTGTCTGTTACGGTGGGCTCGGAGTGTGTGTGGGGGGGTGTCTGTGCTGGTTTTGTGCTGGGAGACGGCGGGTTGGGGGCGGG